CCTTAGTATATAATATATTATATAAATCATTAAAAGCTAAAATATTTGCATCACATATTACTTGCTTAGACTCTTTACGGACCTCTTTATATCTTTCACAATTATAAGATTTTTATATCTAAACCAATTTTGATAATAAATCTTCTTATTTTTTATCTTTTCTTAAACGTTTTGATTCCACAACCAATTATTTTTACTATTAAAAGTTTTTTCATTTGATAATCCAAACACATCTTTTGTAATATGCTTAATATCACAAACTACTTTTTCTCACATAACATTATCTTTCTCATGCACAACAAAAATATTAAGATCTAGTATCTTATTCTCAAAAATATTTTTATTAATATTCTTTAAATGCCCTTATTTAATCCTAGAACAACGTTTTGTTTTATTTGTTATTTTTTGCCCTTTCATCTTAAAGTCTAAAACTAAAAAAAATAATATTGTGTAGATAAACTTTTACTTGGAATAACTTTATAGTCTTCACAATCTAGATAATCTATTTTTTTTATAAGAAAATAATCAATCTGAGTATTATTATATCAATTCTTATAAGTAATGAGATGCTCATATATTTTCTTTAAAAATGTTTTAACAATTACAAATCAGAAGCTAAATAAAAATCTAATATGATCTTATCACCTTCATTAATCGCTCCAAGCCCATAGCCACCATAAATACTTTTAAAATCATCTACCTCTCAATCAACATATCCATTTAAATCTCTTCCAATAAATTTTTTTTCTTCAAAAGATATCTTTTGTATTAATTTTTTTTTAAGTCATTCCAAAATTTTAATTTTGAACTCATATTCAAACATACTTGAGGAGCATAAGCATTTATGCTATCAATAATCTTAGTATCAACAATAATCTTAAAAACTATAATTCTATATCCAATTATATTAGTTTTTACAATATTATTTTTAAAACTCTTATCTATAATCACAATACATCATTTCTAGTACAACTCTTACCTTAAATCATAAACTATCATTCCCTTTAGCCTTTTCTCCAACTTATTTAATGTCCAGAATGCATAGAATATTTATTTTTCTATGAATTATAATATCTATTAGTTTTATTAATTTACCTATAAGGGTACCTATATTTTAAGTTCATATCATAATTTTAGTTTCATGAACTGACTTCTTTATCCACATCCATCCATGATGTGAGAACCCTTACCTATTTAACACTACATCAGGGCACCACACTTGTCGTTGTATTCATGCCATACAACGTGTTGCTTCCAGAGAACACCCTAGCAATAACACAATGACTAAAAGATTCATGTCATGATTATTGAACAAGTTTTACGCTGGCTGTCGACTATCTAACACAACCGTCTATTTTTCTCATTTAGAACTTTGTTTTTTAAAAATTTTTTATTTTAAAAATTTGTGTTTTTATTTTTATTTTCCTCATCCAATATTTGGGACCTAACAATAACAAGATTTAGGACTTGGATATTTCTAATTATAAACTTCTTGTCAATCCTAACCAATTATGCAAAGTTTCTACTTTTAATGCCTGATTTTGCTACTAATCTTTCTCAATTTCCATCAATCAAGCTTTCTTATATTTGGTACAATGACCAACCTCACAATCCCATTAAAATTAAACTGGTATGGGCTTTGCCAATTCTAGCTAGATTGAACAATTCCCAATCTCTTGCAATAATGTCCTCTCCTTTGATCTGATCACTCACCTAACATGAAATTCATTGATATTCATGGCTCTAATCCTCATAGATTCATATTCAAGAACTTTTGCCTGAAATGCAACAACTTCAATACCATCGCCAATACTATTTGGATCAAGTATATTCAATGAGATCCTATTTGTTATCCCTTCACTAATATTAATGGGGAAATTCAAAAGATCAAAGACAACCAACTCAAAACCCACTCTTTTTTAGACTCTTCATGATGACCAAGCCTTGATAGTTGAAGGTATTGTTAACAATGAGCAGTTTTCTTGCCTTTCCTTTATCCAAGCTTTTTTGACCATCTAAAGGCCTAGCTAAAGCTTCATTTGGAACGGGTTTCTCACTGCTTCTTAAAGTAGTTTTTTTGTACAAAAATTTTATTTTTTGTACTAAAACGTTGCCTCAAGTAGTAAGAAAGCCGTCTCAAAAGAAACCTAAGGCTAAGTAACTTTCTAATGGGAAGAGTTCATTGAGAAACTTTTGCATTTCATGGATTACCTCTCCTATATATTTGAGAAACTTTGCAATGAATGTCTCAATATCACTCACCTTTTATACTTAATTGACCTATTAATTTTTTGTAAAGCTTCCCAAATAAAATATTAACTAAGTATTTACTTGCATGGAGAATTTCTCTACTTTATCTTGTTTCTATATTAAACCCAACGAGTGCTCTACCATATTCTTAAAATGCACAACTAAGGATTCTTTAGTGATAGTTTTTTTAAAGCAGCTGTTTAGTACAATAATTAATTGAACTTGAAAATTTTATAGTAAAAAGTTGTTTTAAAAAACATTAAGAAAGATATCTTAAACGAAGTCTAAATTTGAAGCTTTGGTAACTACTTGGACTCCAACTTTCCTGTTGGATTTGTTAGCAACCCGAGAACTCCCTTTGTATGGAAAAATTATTAGGTTCGGACACCTGACGTAGCTCTATATCCGGATGCCAATAATATGTCGCCAAGTGCTCTTATTTTTTACCGTGCGGCCCGACGACTCGACCCAGAACGAAACTCGGTATTGCTCTGTTTGGGAATTACTAGGTATTGCTAGGTATTGCTTGACAATAATGAGAAATATTGCTTTTTAAAGACCAATACCTAGCAAAACCGAGCAATACCTAGCAAAATCGGGGTATTGCTAGGTATTGGACTTAACGGAATGGTATTTATCATTATTGCCGACCAATACCGAGCAATACCCATCAATACCTAGCAATACACAAATCAACAAATACATAGCAATACCGGGTTCGGGTCATCGAGTCGCGCGGTAAAGAGTAAGAGCACGTGGCGACATATTATTGACGTCCGGATGTAGAGCTATGTCAGATGTCCGGACCTAATAATTTTTCCTTTGTATGGAAGTCGAATGTTGCAATCGCTCCGACGGTTAGAAAGATAACTCTATCTTTTGTTAGTTAACTCAAACTAATTAAAACACTTTATATTGAATCTCATTGCTTATAGGAACCATGCAACTTTCTTTCGTAAGTTTATCTCTATTAAAATAAAATGCTCCTCCAAATTCTATGACCATGCAAACACTTCCAAGAGAAAAATTGAACTCATCTCTTTGGCTGATAAATTTTTTTAGACTTTTGAGTCAATTAAAAACAAATTCACACAAATAACACAGTAGAGATGCCTCATATTTTTATCCTCATCAGTGATTTGAAGGCCAAATATCATTTATTTACTTATATCTAAGGAATCTATTTAGTTTTTTATAATTAAAAAAATATTTCAAATTAAAATTCAAAAGTATTATTTGATCCTCATATGACTAATATGGGAATTGAACATGTATGATATGCTACTTTGCAAATGCATAAGCCTAACAATTTTGCATAGAATAAGTTGTGAAACCATGAAAAAATTTTTCTTATGAAGTTGCTAGTTTTTAAGAGTTTGTCCGCTCTTTTTTTTTTTTTTTGGGCGGGCATTTAGGCACTCACACACACATCACATACGCAAGACTAGAATCCAAAATATCTTAGTTGATAACTTAAGCTCCCAACTAATAGACCAAAAAGAATTGTATAGTTTGTCTGCTCTCAATTTATAATATTGTCTAGTTCTCACCTAAAAATGCTGAGCTTAATTTCTTTCTCTCAATAGGCTTGTTAATAATTGAAATAAAAAGAATTAGTTTCCACATTTTTGTCTATTTTTATTTTTCTTTTATAAATTCAATGGTATTATCATGTTAGTTATTTACGTTTTTTTGTCTAAAAATATTAAATTTATACATTTTTTATTCCTTTAATTATTATTATTATTATTATCATCATCTTAATATTTAATTATTTAAAATTGTCTATCCTAAAAAAAATTGGTTCCACTCCCTATAGATATATGCCATAAATTACGGCTAAACACTGAAACTCTCATTATCATGATTAAACTTTAATTGAATTTAATCTCTGATATATTAAATAATTTTCAGAATTTAAATATTACAAAATTTACTAGATTTAAATTTAAAAGATTTAACTGGTTACAACACATATCAATTCTTTAAATTCAGGATTTAAATGTTGTTGAGATGAGGATGCTCAGATTGATAAGTGGACTTACTCTTAGAGACATGATACAAAACAAGTATACCTGGAAAGAGGTTGTAGTAGTTCCAATGATAGATAAGTTTAGAGAGAGCCGTTTTTAATGATTTGGTCATGAAAACGTTGGCCTTCCAATGGAGAAATTATTTTGTGCGGATATTGGATGGTCCATAGACCAACTAGAACGTGCGACATCATCCGGTACACAACAGTACCGAGCATAGAAAAAAATGGTGAGACATAATCTAGTTGGTCTCCGAACGACGTTCGATGTTTGCACATAATAGTTTTTCCTTCCTTCCCATGACCCTGTTAGGAGAATAGAATTATTAGATGTGGGCTATATTAAGAACGGTAGAGGTAGACCTATAAAGACTTGATTATAAAATATTAGAAGTGATCTTTTTTTTTTCTTTAATGAGATTTAAATGAGAATTTGATACTTAATGAGACATAATGGAGAAAAATAATTCATTTGGCTGACCTCACATAAAAGTATAAATATTTGATATTACTATTGTTGTTTATTGGTTACAACACCACTAAATGTTTATTTGATTGGCTTTCTTACAACCAAAAATACTTGTAATACTTAATAATAATTAAATCAGATATCTTAAGTTTTAAGCGAGTCATATTAGTGAATTCATAAAATATGTTAGGCATTTCTCAACTAAATTACTCGAAATGAAGTAAAAAATGGAGTATAAAAAAAATTCTATGGCTTTGGCGGCGTATAAGCTTCAGCTATGGTTTCGGTTTCACCATATCGGATCAGTCTCCTATCTGGTAACCTTCTGCTGCCCTCGCTCACTAGCGGCGGAGGAACGAAACTAGGGTTTTACGAGCTTTCGGGCCGATGTTTTTAGACATAGCAGGAATCGCCCTCTTCTGCGAAGTATTTGATCACTTCTTACATAGTTAATTGGTGAAGAAGTAGATTCTCGTAGATTCCGATCTGAAGAAAATAAGAGAGTGTGGGAGGAAAAGGAGAAATGAAAAGCCCTATCTCATGAGTACGCGAGTTTCGCGGTGAAAATACGGCATGCACATGCCAGGGGAAAGCGCCGCTATCGGCGGCTCGCTGTTGTTGCAATTTGAGGATGATAACGAACAACTTGAGGCCGGCGGAGATGAAGGGCCAGAGGACCTTCGTAGGTAATAAGCTTTCACTCGATGTTCTCAGGCTCTTTTAACAAAAATGCATTGGAAAATAAAACTAGAGTAGATGATCTTTACTTTGCCTATTTTTCATTAGTTCCCATTTCCCAATGTCAGCACCATCAACCATTCTATGTATTATGAATGCTGCAGCTGTGCTTGTTGTAAAGGACCTCGTTACCTTCATTCTCTCTTCTGCTTCAACTCACTATTTGTTGAACAATTAACATACATGGCTTCCTGGATTCTCGTTTCTAATGTCCCCGATTCTGAGCTTTCTTAAAATCCGTTAACTAACAATAAAGATATATGGGACTTATTTGTTCCCGCTTTTGTTGTTTTTGTGCCCTCGTCTTATATATGCTTCATCATTACTGTTAGTTATTACGAAAAATGGATGCTTCTTATCACAACTATAAGGAGATTGTAAGACCACCTTGTAGGATACTCAATTTGTTTTATGCAACCAATAAATTTCAGAATATTTGTCTTATTTATGGATTTGCTTGAGTCTATATGTAACAATAGAAAAAAAAAAACATAATTATACATACTTGTTTTCCATGCTGCTCCTCTCAAGATGAGAAAGCATGGTCTACTAATAAGTAATAAATAATTTTGAAGTCCATAAACTTCAAATGCATGATCAAAATTATTCATACTCTTTTATAAAATATAGGAGTAATAGATTTATGTATTTAACGATGACTTGATCATGCATTCAACACATGATATATCCTGCAAAAGATGATCTAGACTGAATGAGATCAAGTTCATAAATTTTTTGTTTCGTATGTTGTGGGCTCTTTCATGCTCATGCTCTAAATTAAGAGTGTTGTAGTTAAAAGATTTGTGGCTTTTAGTAGACACGTTGAAAGTATTAAATTTTTTGATATTTCACCTTGTTTTTAGGGCTTTATGTCTTTGTGATCAAGACTCTTCATCAGCTGAAGCCTCTGTAGTTAATTATCTCACTGAGATGTATGATACTATCAATTTAAAAAGTCACAATTACTTATTTAGTAATTGAATGGATGTACATGAATTTACCCTCATCATGAAAATGTTATGCAATAATTCTATTTATAATATCTTGCTTCCCGTTTTGAGAAATTTGTATGTGTTTGACTGCATCTTGTTAGGATCTCACGCTTTTGTTATTTAGGATCATAGAGTATCATATTTCTACGAGTTAGGGTACTTTTGCTATGACCATTGGGCTGTATGACTTGACTAAACGTGAAATGGCATGGGAGCTTAGTGTGAATAGTTATTTAGATGAATAATGTAATGCTCTAAGTAATGAAAGAATTTGATTTACTTAAACGTATAATTAATTACCTCATCTACTAATAACAATAATTAGAGCTATTAAATTTTCTAAAAACGTAATTACAATAATCCATATCATAGAAATCTATACATTAAATAATTAAATGTTGTATTAGAAACTCTTAACTTAGAAATTCGAATTGCAAAACCTTGCCTTTACAACTGATCTACTCGACATGACTTTTACCTTTTCTTGAAACATTAAGGGGCTGTTTGGTTGCCTGAAAAAGAAATGCAGTGTAAAGTAAATGCAGTGTAAAGTAAATGTAATGCATTTCGAATGCTTTGCTCTGTTTGGTTGTCTACAAAAGAAACGCAGGAGATTTGTTTCCCTTGTTTGGTTAGGTATATCCAGAGTAAAGTAAAATTAACTTTTTTTAATTATTTTTTACAGGGAAGAGAACTACCATCGGTGAACACCATTGCACTTGCAGTTATTATCACTTTGTTCAATGTATGACATGAAAATATTGGTGTGGTTGTATTACTTATTCAATATAATCATGGCTAGGGCTATAAGATAGTTTTTTGTCATTATTTTTTAACAAGAAAATTATTTCAAAATTCGCTTACCTAATTAATTTAAAATAGTAATTCTTTAAGAAACAGCTGCAATAGACAAAAATATACATGTAATGGAGAGAAATTTTAATTTTCAATTCTTTTTTAATTTTTAAATTTATATTATTTCAAGTAATTTTTTTACAAAAAAAATTGTAGAAATACTAAATTTTCAAACCGATTTCTTTGTTTAATTTAGCGATAAAAATAATTATTTTCTATTAGCAATCAATAAATAACATGATTCTCAATTATAACATGTAAACACCATTAATGAAAATGTACAATTAAAAAATAAAAAGATAAATAAAAACCCATTATTCGTAGTACCGTAAATATAAGCAAATTGCTACATATCTTAGAAGGTATGCTCTAGCTCCAAAATACTTGTATGAGTTTGATTTCGAGCATATTATGCCACCACAAAGCCATTAATACCTCCCTGGAAACATACATAAATGGAAGTTTGGCGGAGATTGATCCGTAGCAATGCTTTGCGTGAATGGAATATAATCTATAAGCAGATGGCCGACTCTGGTTTAAGAAAGGAGTTGTCATGTCTGAACAATGATAGACTATAGAATTCTAAGAAAAAACAGAATAACGTAAATTGAAACATATAGAAGTAAGCCTCAAACCTGCAAACTGAAATCACCTCCATCAAATGAAAACTTCTCCAGAGAACAAAGGCATAGCTCTAAAGATTTCTGGGCGATCGCTACAAGCAACAAATCCTGTTGCTCAACTGTTCAAAAGCTAATGAAAATACCTTTAGTAAATTTCACTAAGCTTAGAACCAAATATTTCAGGTAACATTGGCGAAGCCACACCTGAGATGGAAAGCCTTGCGGCAACGATCACCTCGGCCACCAAGATGACGGCTTCGATCTGTGGCCGACTCCAGCTCTGCAAGACCAAACTACCTTGATTGGCGACTCTGATGCCCTCTTCCAGTATAGAAAGGATTGATTTCAGGCCTGGCCGCGCAGCACCAGAGAGCAACTTCAGAGAAAACCTTGGGGGCCTCGTCTTGCTAAGGATCTCGTGGAGCCTGGAGATTTCCGCCATGGAGAAAGATCGATCAGAACATACAGAGCGGCAAAATCGGTCCTTGGGAGGGATTTGTACAGAACCGTGGCTGCGACTGTGCCGAGGAAGGATACAGTGACAGCGACGAAGAGAAGGGAGGAGGGGGAAAGTAGTGAGAGGCAGCTGTAGCGACAGGTGGAGGATTGGAGACTGCGGTCAGCGAAGAAAGGAAAGCATGGCGGAGGCCGCAGAGGAGGGGGATGAGATGATCGGTTTCTGTTTGATCCGGCTTCTCCATGGATGAGAGATCGGAGCGAAGTCGAACAAGAACGAAGGAGCCGAAGAAGCCTCTCATGCAATGAAGTCGAACAGCACTGGCGACGATGCCAAGTTTTCTTCCGATGAATTTATAACCCGCTCAATATGAGCGGGTTTCTAATTCACGCAAAACAGACTCTCTAATACACGCCTAATACTTCGGATGATTTTCTTTTGTTCCGCTCAAATTTAACCAAACAACCAAATTTAGTAAATACATGTAATTGTTTTACTTTACACTCCTAATTCAGGCAACCAAACAGCCCCTAAAAGAACAAAGTAAGCTTAATTACTTAGTAGACTCCTCCTTCACCCCTCTTAGATATCAAAACTCAGTTCATATATGTTAAAAGCAGTTAATCAAAGAAAAACAGAAAGACTTTCAAAATACATAAAGCATAAGAAAAACAAGGATTTACCATATTCTAGCATGTATACCTAATCTTGGGGCTAACTCTTACTTTCTTAATCACATAGTCATTTTCACAGAAGTTTCTAGATGCCGTACATAATACTTATTTTTCAGGAGTTTACTTGTATTTCACTTTCACTTTCATTTTTCCGACGTAATTCATACATGAACTCAGAGTTTACTGTAAATCTCTTTGAATATTTCTTGAACTTAATTCATTAAGTTATTAACATATGAAATACAATGCTTAATATGAACATGTCCCGATGCTTCTTTATATCTCCACTTTCACTTATGTCCATTTTTTACCTCCCACACCTGCATTTAGTAAGTGGGGTCATATTTTCTCCCATATATGTATTAGGAAGATGTGCCAGAGTCCAGACGATTCACTTTTAGTGTTATTTAATCTCCCACACCTACTTTTGACAAGTGGGGCATTATCTCTCCCACATCTGCATCAAACAGATGGGGCATAAGAGTATATGTAGGGCTCTTACAACATAACAAAGAGTGCACTTTTCCTTGTTTTAGAACAGAACCTCTCTAATGCCACATAATGTAGAATACAAATGCAATGTAACAGTAATTAAATTAAACATTCAATGCAATATTTAGATGTTGCAAAAAATTTCAGTAAAAGTCTCAATATTTGTAAAACAAGATACTCATTGAACTTTTTTTTTTATAACTTCTAAGGAATATTCACATGAACATTTTAACTTTTTTATATAACTATTGTATTTTTCAGAAAATCCTCCATTCCATAATATGCTAAAAATTTTATATGAGAAAAAATCAATCATCGAAAACTCAATTTCATGCATTCAAAATGTTCATAATAAGGAACACAATAACATATAAAAAATAATACGGTGAATTTTTTTGTAAAATTTGAGAAAAGAACATTTTTGTTCATACTTTTTTATAAACTTACTGTAATTGAAATCAGACAGGGGTTTAGGAGTCTACCTCCAGCTCTACAATTTTCTGAACTAGCCTGACGAACAAATCATTGAATTTGGCCTCCGAAATCTCTCCCTTCCTTTTTCTCTCTTCTCCTCCTCCTTTCTTCTCTGACAAGGCTAGGATGGTAAGTGAAATGAGCAAGTGAGTTGAGATATTTTAATATTAAATTTTTCACTATTTTGTCCTAGCGCCACAGGGGCCAACTTTTTCGGCTTCGCAGCACTCCAAAGAATCTTCTAGATGCTCCAAGAATATACTCATCTGAGACCCAATGCCGCAGCAACGCTTCCCTGCGCCGCCTCACTTGCCTATTCTTTCCATAAATTAGAGAGCTTAGTATTGGGTCGACGTATACCCTATGCCACGGCGACCACAA